ATTAATATTCATATTTTTTTTGTTAAAAATAACGTAAATACAATGACAAGTACGACAATTTTAATTGCATTTTCTTTTCTATTTTTCTTTCAAAAGCTGTTGTAAAATACATTATAAGAGAGCTGTAATTCATTGTTTGAAAACAGATTTTAATAAAAGAAAGGATTTATAAAGAAAACACGTTAAAATTCGTGTTATTGATTAAAACTGGAGACAGCACAAACAAAAAAAAGGTAAAGAAGGAGTCAAGTGAAAGATCAAACAGAAAAATCGTAATAAATTGGTGTACTTATTACGTTTAGCTGCTTCACTTTTGTAGGGATTTGCTTTAAGGAGATAAGCTCAACATGAATTTTGTTTGGCGAATCAAGTAAGTGGTTTATTTGGTATTCAGAGGAAGTAGCACCTGTTGATCGTCAATATTTCAGCGAGTATCGCGAAATATGGAAATGCGCTTATTCAACGGAAACCTACCTCATCGTTATTTTGCTTCCCAAAACGTTCGTCGGTTAGTTGTGTGCACACTTATCCGTGCTGCTCGACTTCCGATGAATTTAATTCATGACACACATAAATTTAGATTGGACAAAGTTTTTTCCGGCAATAATAAACTCGTTTCGCGCCTTTTGGAATTTAACAATTCGAAAAATGAAATAAAGCGACTCGGCAACTGGTGCATTATACATTTATTCCTGTAAACATTCAATTTTAATTACGAGATAATTACGATTTTGAATCATCATCATAAGGTCGTCAGTCCTAAGACTCTTCCTCCTCTGTTCTCCTATTCTTTCTAATCCTCATCATTCGCCTGTAACACCACATTTCGAACACATCTAACCTTTTCGATTTTAAATACTTCATTTACTTTCTCTAGGGATGTGCCCCTCCCAATGTCTTGGATGCGCTCTGGCAAAATCGTAGGTAGGGAGAAAAAAGCTCATTATACTCTCGACTCTTGTTCATTAAACATACTTTTTCATACAGTACCCACCAAAAGTTTTATTCAATCGTGAATAGTCGAAAACAAGCGTTAAAGCCTTTAATATGTCTTCAAATATAAACATCTCGTTGATATTTTCAGTAGTAAATGGTACCAATAACAGCACATTTGAGCAATGTAATTGTAATGGATAAAATGGTCAATTTTTCCGTGCAGTACTGTACGGATTATACGCTCCTCACGGGTTAAGAGTTTGGCCGAGAGTTGTCTTCTTTCTTTTCTGGCCTAGTGCTTTTCTTTTCTACTTTGCGCCGGTCAAACTGAAGGTCACATCGCTCCAGAAAGTAAACGAAGTATACTAGTTGTTCTCCCCTATCAGTCACTGTGAGCACCATTGCTTCGAGTGGTGAAAATTCACTTTTGTGAACAATTTCTTTAATCACTTTCGTTGTGTAAAAAATGTTTGAAAAATTAAATTTAAAGTTTGTAAATAGGTATGCAACACATCGTATACTTCAACATAAGAAATTTCTGATACTAACTACGTAATACTACTTTGCCTTGTGCTGACAGAACTCATAATTTATTTTATATAATATTATTAAAGTCTATCTTAACAGAGTTTTCCCATTCAGACTTACATACTGATTAAATTATTTAAAAGTTTTTATTACACTAGAGTTAAGCGAAGAGAGTAAATGAAATAAAAGTCTGTGACCCTCGTCGCAAATGGGACATACAATTGTCTGGTTGTAATTTACAGCGGTTTTACTCCATGTAGAATTTGAAGATTTGTTTTGAAAACGGTTCGATATTATAAATGCCTACGTTCGACTGCGAAATTCGTTTGCTTTTCGACTATCTTTTCCATTTTTAGAAAATCTACTATTTGTATTCTCAGTTGCAATTTGATCGCTTTTCTAAAAATTTAAGCAGTGCTTTGTATGATGGTATTTTGCTATCTGAAAGAGTTAACTCTCATTGTCAAGCAGTATTTGAACTTACTTTAGCTAAAATTAAATCAATCAGTGGAATATCCCACCTGATCAACTGATGCTTTTAAATTTGTTCGATTCAAAAATGAAACAAGAATATTTGAAAATAAATATGATGTTCAATTTTGCTTACTACTACATTCATGAATTAAATAATAATATATAGAAGAAGGTGAAATGCGACCGAACAATAATAATTTTTTCTTTTTGTTTCAGGTAAGTCTACACCTGATTCATTTCTTCTAGCTTTAGACACAAGAGGTAAGTTTTTGATTAGGATTCTTACTTTCCATATACTGAAAATATTCATAAATGAGGTTTAATAGAAAAATAGCGGGGTAACAAAGTTTAAGTGACTTACAGTACGTATAGTAGATAAAATGTACTATTATAATGTAGCTGATACGTTTATAGGTTTAACGGGATATTTACTCAGAACCTCCATACATTCTGGAATATCGGTATACAAACAAGGTGCACTAAAGTTGATAATCTTATTTTATCGAACGTTATTAGGTAGTTACTTACTGTAAAATTGTTGAGAGAGTAGGAACTGATCCAAATAATAACACGGAAAATGAGGGATAAGCTTTTACGTTCGAGTCAAGCTGAACATAACTTTGACTTTGTATGCTACATATGGAATACGCGTCGGTGGATAATTCGTACAAACGCAATTTCTTATACACCTATACACTCCCTAAAACATTATATCCTTCTTCGTAGCATGCCAATACTCGGTGGTGGCGGGAAGATGTTATGTTTACGAAAACCAAAATATTATTTCCCTCATTACTTCTTCATTCAGTTTTAAAATGACATGGGTACCTAACTGGTAATTATTTTATAACATCAATTGTACTCTAATCTTCGTTATTCTACTATGTATTCACGCATTTAAAACGTTCTCAAGGTAGGTTCAGAAACTTCAAGAAAATGATGGTGCAAATAATCACATCAATTAAGCATACATTTATGTTGAATCTGATTCAATTTTTGAATAAATGAAGCCTTATTTTCCTAATAAAACATTATTTAATGGGAGGATTTTGGGAGTGAAACTAGCAGAAAAAGCCAAACAGCTTGAAAAAGCAATACTTACTGTTCGATAAGTTCTCTTTTGTCCTGCATGCTTCCCCGGCCTTCCTTCCAATTCGACGTGAACATTGTAAATGATATCAAAGAAATTTTCGACGATAGCCACTTTCCTGTATGTTGGCTCAGCAGTGGAGTTCTGAAAATAAAAACGAGATATAGATTTTCCCACATTACGTTTTTTCTTACTAAATGCTAATCAATATAAGGTCGATAGCAAGGTTTCCTTTTGGAGGGTAAAGCAAAAACACGTACGATAGCTAAAATTTCTGTTTATGAGTAACTGAAATTTGATGTAACGGATTTACAAGAAACATAATTTATCGTATTTTTCCTTATCGCAGCATATCACGACTCGCACCATTTAGCTTCGATATGAGATGGAATCAGTCGGCAAACGAACCCTTTTAATTACTTCTTCATCCGTCATTCCCTAATAACATAAAGTCCGATCCGTGCCTAGTACATTTAAACCACGAAAATTCGTTCTACCTGAACCAGGCAGCGAGAGATCCTTCTTTTCCACGAGGCGATTCGTTCAAAACCATAGTAACCCCCTGTCAGGGATGCCTTTTTTCCTTTGTGGGTGCGCCATCTCGACTACGTAGTATTCGATCCCTTAAGCCCCCAGTGTACCGCCGGGCCTTTCTCTCTCCACCTCCTGGCTCACTCGGGCTAACCCTAGCGCTGCGGCCTTTATACCCTTAGTTACCCTGAGCCGAATCCCGTCTGCTGTATTCTGCCAAATCATCCTCAACCCCTGCGGACTTCTGGAATATCCTGCCTTAAACCCACCCACCCCATGGCCTCGTGTCGCTGATACCGTGCACTAGCGTTAGGAAGCGGATCACTCGACGAATACTGCCATCGTTTCCAACAAATTATAACCAATACAGTTTTTTATAAAAAAGTTCGTATCAATAATTGTTAATTAAATATATATAACAAATGAATTCTATACGAAAATTTTAAAATGAACCAAAAAAATACTAAGTTTTATCTGATAATTCAAAATTTTATTATAGGTACTAAAAATCGACTAGTTTTTTCCATATATTGTTTGTTTAGGTACTGCACGACGTTCTAACCGTCAATTTTGAACATCTTCAGGGTATAAAAAAACCAATTTTGCATACATATCATGAAAAAGCATGATAAAAGTAAATTCTACCTATTTAACATGTTTAAAACGGTTTAAAATACCCGATTTAAAACACAGTTTAATTTAATTAAAATAGGCCACTTTTAAAGATAACAGTGGTATAGAATTTGTTATGCGAATTTGTTTAAAATAAATTAAAAGGATTGTTAAACAAAAAAGTACCTTTAATAAAAACGCTATAATTAAGGCGTGATTTAAATGGCATAAGATTTGGAATATAATTAGTTAGCATCCCCTGCTTTCGCAAGTGTTGCGATGAAAACTTAATAACGACAGACGCCAGTCGACGACAAGATAAAGGGCGAGTTTAGAGCAAGATTTTATCTTAACTGTTGAAACACATTGGTTAAGGAGAGCAATAACCCACCCTTATGCTGATAGCACGCGTGAAATTGGTTACACATCGAGAATACGTGACCTACAATTTAACTTCATATTACACCGTCAAGTTGCGAATAATTCGGTACTTTCAATTCCGTCTAGGCGGCTTTGAAAGCGATGTTAGCTTCAAAAGCGGCTAGCCGAATTGTCATATTAGGATATCTGACGTTTAATTATATTGCGAAGGAGAATATTTATAAAGCCAGTATGAACGTCAGACGAGGGTACTTAGGGTGGCAGATACTGTTCGTTCCGACCTGGTGTATGTCTAATTTTTACCATTTTACTACTTTTGACTCGAGAATGGGGCGGCACCTTCATATTCGATCGTAGGAACCATTAACGCTAGTAACAGCAATTTGACAGTTATGTACTACAGTCAAGTTTTATCTAATCAAAAATTAAAAGTGATTATACTTAATAACCATTCAAATAGATTTTTAATACATCTGTAACTTTTCGCCTGGAGTTATAATTACAATACATAATTCATAATGTTACTACTCTGAAGCAGTATAGCTTCCAGAATCGTCCAGGAGGAATTAAATGTACCGATTTATTGGACCTGACTTTCGTTTAACTAATCTATAGGTAAGAGATGGATTTCTAGAAGTTGATAATATTTAACATTCTAGAAAAATGAACAAAACAATAGTAGGGATGAAAACCGCTTTTTAAGCGAATTTTTTTTAAAAGTGTCGATCAATAACAACGTTTGATTGAAAGATAGATACAAATATTTCAAAAGACAATTAAAAATTACACGATATTATTGATTGCGATAAATACATTAACTAGTTGACCAAATGAAGACTACAATGTAATGATATTAATTCTCGTTTCATTCAAAAATTCCATGCAGAGAGATATTCAGCTTTATTATGTGAACTACGAAAGCAAAATTTCGCAGTATTTAAGTTATTTTCTTCGTAAACTTTCTAGTCGATCGCGTACAATGATTGTATCACATCATACACACACTAGCTGTACAGAGGGGTATAAAATTATATACATACGTATAGTCAAAGATATTTTAGTTAACTCACAATCACTTACTGGTGGGGGCATATGAAATATATTAATGTTTTGAACACTGGTAACGTTTTTTCTTAAAAAAAAAACAAACTATAGCAACATGGTATTTCAAAATAGCTTTATAATATTGAACAAAAATTGAACAGTCTGTTGTATGTCCACTCGATTTTCAAAATTAGGTACTTACCTCCTTTTCTAAATGAACTCCAATAGAATATCCTAGCAAAGAAGTAGGTGACTCAATTCTAGCTTTTTAAATAGAACTTGAAAAAATTTATTAGAAAAGAATATTTCCCTTTTTTATTATTATTTTCTTAACTGCCTGTATTCTAAACCTTGTGCTAAAATTTTCCGTATGGTGAATACAGTAGATTTTTAATTTTGAATTGTAAGAGGTACGTGTTCCGCTTCAATAGTTAGGTGGTTGAAAACTTATTAATACATGTGCTTATTTTTTACAATTCCATGAAGATCAACTCGTGTACGTTATCTATAACGTTTATGGAATAGAAATTCTTTCAAATTGCACAACATTAAAATAAAACTGAAAGTATTACCTATTATATATACTTTCTAACTGACGATGAGACGTTGGGTGTTGAGCTGTGTTATCAAAACAGTCTCAGTTAAGGTTGTGAAATTTCAGATTCTTTCATTTCAAAAACAGAAAGATATTATTTTTATATTTTTCGTCCTATGGAAAGCGTACAACTAAAATACTTGCGACTGTACGCCGATTCGTGCATGGAAAGAACGTTGCCGCTTGCTACTGCCGAGGTCTTTACTTATCCGTCGCTACCGTGCGAACGTAGTTGAGGCGTTCTTTTTGCAGAAAGAGGAGCAAGCAGCAACGGCACCACTCTCAGCACCACCAACATCAGATCCCAGTCCCCAGGCGCTTCGGATACACAGCGGCGGCCGAGTGTGTTTTTGTCGAGATGTTCGTTGGCACAGCAGTTACCCGGGCGGACTTCATTTTTCCATGTTTCATGGCCTTCTTTTTGCAGCAGCAGCAGAGCCATCGCTCCGTAATGTCGTAGTAGTCGACGACGTTGAGGCAGCGGCGACGCCAACGACGTCGTCGGGTCGTAGTTGGCGACGGTCGACGACGCGCAACGGAGCCACGGCACCTAACCCGCTTTGGTTCCCGCATATTCTTTAAACGAGATGAGCACCGAGCTTAACAGCGTTGCCCATAGATGGGTAGATGGGAAAGTATGAAGAAAAACCGCTCTAGCGTTAGATACTTCTTATTGTTGATGGTGTGGTGCGGATGTAATATGAAAAACGCTGCTTGTGTACGTTTGCATGATTGTCGCATCAGTAATGCGAAATTTTTAAAATCCTGTTCGTTTTAAAATACTCGTTTTCACTTTTCACGGTTTCGTACCCCTTCTTAAAATGAAAAAACGAAATCCTTATAGGAGGATTACTGTGTTGTTCGTAGATCTGTACATTAAAATCTCCTTTTCAAGAACGGCTAAAGATACCGAATTGTAGCAAATACCAAGCAATAGAGAAGGGGACGCCATCATAGTCCTGCAAAAGATTCGAGTTTCTAAGTGAATTCAGTAAAAGCATAGGACCTTTCAAAGTGCATTTTCAAACTAACTGACTGACTATTAGGGTAATTTCCATTGATACAAAATCTTGAAATTTGGCAGAAGGAAGATCTCATGGTTCAAGTAAAACGCCCAAAAGTTATTAATTTGTAATTTTGCGTGGAACCATTCCTCAAACATAAACCTGCAAAATCTTAGAGCAAACTTTTTATATTCTATGTACTTCATAGGCTCTGTCCCTAATACTTGCACTGTTCCGTTTTTTTCACCAAGAAAAGTAGAATTTACGTTACCCCCCAAAGTTTCAATTTAAAGTAACCTATCTAATCTATTCGAAAAAAAATCTACAAATTGCGCAAAAAAAATAATTACAAAATTTTAAAAAATCACAAGTTTACTCTATAAGACGTATCCAAATGCTTACTAAGTATATTCAAACGCTGAAAACTCTTTTGCCCAAAAGCAGTTAGGAATTTAGCTGAGATATGTATTTAGTTATCCAATGATGCTGAAATTTTCGTAAGGAATCATCATCATCATAAGGTCGTCAGTCCTAAGACTGGTTGGACACGTACCTCCACTCTTTCCTATCCTGAGCTAATCTTCGCATTTCCCTAAAACTAGAACAACCCACATCCTTAACTAAGGAATATTGTTTAAAAAGAAGAGTTTAACTAAAAAGCGATTCAAGGTTTTTTTCGAACAATCAATCAGAGAGGAAAGATTGAAACCCGCCTTTCTGAATTTCCAGATGAAATTTAAATCCTTTCTTAAAATGATCAAGGAATAGACTATCGATATCAAAAATAAATTATTATTATTATTGAAATTATCGTTATCAATCGTCAAACATATGCTATTGAAGCTCTGGGAGAATGCAAGGGTGAACTTTTTCCAAATATATTTCTATTGTTGAAAAAATACGCCCACCAGACAGCACATTTTCAATATTGAGAAGATTAAAAATTATTTGAGAAATTCGTGCAGACAAGAGCGACT